CATGCGGTGCCGCCCTGGACCGCATCCTCCGACGCTCCCCTGAGCAGTGCAAACGGCCCGGGCATCCTTCCTGGAGGGGCCGGCGGCGGCACGCGAAGAGCGTCACGAATCCTCGGGAGCCGCTCCGAACATGCTGCCAAGGAAAACGGCACCCTGCCACGGGCCGCGCTCGCCCCTCCGCCTGCCGCCCGGGGTCTGCCGGCGGCTGCGGGGTGGAGGGGCCCGGACCATGCCGGCACCTCGCAGGCCATCCCACATGCGCTGCACGAGGAGCTCCGCCCTGCCTTCTTCCCGCCTGCTCCCGCGACTCGAGGCCTCCCAGATGGGGTCGGAGCAGATGCGGCCGGAGGATCGCGCCGCGTCGCCGATGCATCGGCGATGCATCGGCCATGCATCGGCGACGCATCGGCGATGCACGGGCGATGCGTCGTCGACGCGGGCGATGCCTCGGCGACGTCGGCGTGGAGCGCCTCGGGCTCCACATCTCGACCCGCAGCGGCGATGCACCGGCGCTGCGGCGCGATGCTCCGACGCCATCCGCTCCGACCCCCTCCTTGGGAGGCCTAAAGAGTGATGCCCTCTCTTTTTCCAGCGGGTGCACGGGCACCGCCGCGCGGCACGGGGGCGCGCGGACCTCTCGCGCGAGAGAGCGGCAGTGGGCGGCCCTCGCCGGCTGCGGAGGAGATCCGCCGACTCCCTCGCGGGTCCCCAGGCGTGCGAGGATTGAGCGGACAAGAGCGGGAGGCGCTGGTATTTGTCTCTTGGGCTCGTAGCCTGGAAACCTCTTCGGCCGTTTTGGGGGCTCCCCTTGGCCACAGGGCGCTCCCTGGGGGCCTCTGGGGGGTCTCGTGGGGCGCTTTCGGGGTCCTCTGGGGAGCCTGTTGGGGCTGTTTTCGGCCGTTTTGCAACCCTCTGAGAGCGAGTCCAAGACGATGTTGGTTTGGAGACCCCTCCAGATCTGATTTTCTACCCTCCTCCCTCCACCCTTCTTTTACTTGGGATGGGTTTGTCATCCTCATCCTCCTCTTTCTCCTGATCGCTCCTCCTCCTCCTCCTTCTCAACCTCTCGAGTGACTGGAGAACTGAAAGGGTAATCGTAAAATCGAAGATAAGGTAGTGGATTGAATAACAAAAGCAACGCTTCAGCGAGGAGGGAGCGGGGGAGGAGAAGCCAGAGCGGTCGCTCTCACTCCTCGTCGTCGCGAGCGTGGCCGGGATTTCCTTCACCTGATGTGAAAGAAATCTTTGATCTTCTGCACTGCTCCGTTCGGCTTCTTAGTTGCTGGCCCCTGCTCCTCCTGCGGCGACGGCTTCTCGTTTTGCTTAGGACTGGCAGCCCCCGCCTTCGTGCTCTCCGTCGCTGCGCTCTTTACCGTTGCCTGGGGACCAGCCCCAAAAAGCTTGTCGTCCTCTGCATCGGCGGTCCCGGCCATGAGGCTCTGGTCCTTGCACGCCGGCGACGCGGTGCCGAAGAGCCAGCAGTAGGTCTCCTCGCAGTTGCGCTCGAGGACGTCGGCCATGTCGCTGGAGAAGCCGTAGCAGCGGCCCTTGGCGCTCGAGCCGGCGTTCCAGACGACGTTCCCGTAGCCCATCGACAGCGAGGTGTTCGCGCAGCTGGCGTACGAGCGCGCCTTGCCGAGGTTGTGCCACCCGCTCTGCGGCGACACGGCGAACTTGCGGGCCGAGCCCTGCGGCGAGCAGGTCATCTGGTCGGCCACCGGTGCGGCGCGCGGCGTGGCCGCCTCCTGTGGCTGAGGGGCCGCCTCCTGCGGTTCTGGGTCGAGCGGCGTCTCCCCATTGTCCCAGGCAGCCTGCTGCCTGCTCTCTTCCTCGCCCGCCGCGTCCAGCGCCCTCCTGTATGCGCTGACGCTGCGGTGGCCATCACGCTCGCGCCGGCTGCAGTCCAGGGTGAGCTTGCACCGCTGCTGCGCCGAGTCGGGCCAGAAGCTCCAGAACCTGCACTCGCCGAGGCACCTCTTGCTGCAGTCCTCCCAGCCCTTGGTGGGCCCATCGTAGATCGCCAGGCCAGCGCACACGCCCATCTGCCCTGGCGGCGCTTGCTGACGCGGCTCCGTTTGCGGCTGCTGCGCTGGCGCCTCGATGTCCGCCTGCGCCGCTGGATCAAGCTGGTTGTCGAGCATCTCCGCCTTCTTGATCTCCTGGAAGAAACAAAAACAGTGAACATAGGCTTTCGACGGTCCGCGCGGATTTCTTGGCTTTGCTCTGGGCCCCCCTCCCTGGCGCGCGGAGCGCGCAAGGGGCGGCGCCAGAGGCGACCCCAGAGGGCCCCTGGCGCCGATACGAGAAACCCGCGCCGAGCTCCGACAGCTTGTGCGTGCGTGCCGTTTGTCCTCCTCCGATCTCCTCCACCCCGGTGGCGGCCACGAGCCCCTTGAGCACCGAGTGGGAGTGCTGCGAGGTGACCGGCTCCCGGGCGTGCTGTGGGGCGTCTCGCGCCCAGGGCGGCTCCTCGCCGGGCTCCAGGTCCGCGGCATGGCCCAGCCCGACGGCAGCCTCCGGGCCCAGGTCGAGGCCCAGCGCGGGCTCGTGGCGCGCCAGAGCCGCTGCCCCGGCAGCGAGGGCCAAGAAGGTGGACACTGCCGCCAGCGAGCGCCGCATGGTGCTGGCAGTCGGGCGCGCAAGCGAGGGTGTGCAGTACTTGTTATAACAGGCCGCGAGCGGATCGCAGCCACGGTCCGTCTGTGGAGCCAGGGCGGCGCTCGAGGCTCGGGTTCGCGGAAGCGCTGAGACTCTGGAACCAGAGATCCATGACCTTCGCCCCACGATATCCCTGAGCATACAATACGAGCCCGACCACAAGAGACCTTCCACGAGAAACCGGACCCTGGAACCCCAGGACGTCCGTTGACTGCTGGTGTGGGAACGTCACGCTAGCTCTCCACAGCACAGCCATCCAAACCCAAGAAACCCAGGGCACCCTGGAGGCAAGCAGGGTGCTTCTTGGCATGGGCCTCCACTGTGTATGCAAGGACGGGGCTATCGCATGGAGGAAATAGGTCCCAACCTGTTCGCCCGCCCCGTGCAGCGCAGCCGCCGGGCCCAGAGATTCGCCGAGTCCCCGCGTGGCCCACCTCGCGGCCTCGGCAAACGCCCGGCGCACCCGTCCCCCTGTACAGCGCGGCCACCAGGCCCCGATGGTCCCTGTGGTCCCGCCCCGAGTCAAAGACACAAAGAACATGCGCAAAAGCAGGCGCAATTCACATGCATCGAGAAACACGCGCCAACAAGATCTATCAACAAACATCACGCACCTGAACAGTACGCATGCGCAACATGCACAGAGGCCCAGAATATATGCCATGCGTAACTGACACACGTGGGCACCGAACACATAACACATAGCCGGATCAACACAATGAAACTACACACATGAAGCAAAGGAACATCATGGGTGCACAACCAGCAGACAACTACACAACGTACACGCAGCCCATGCGCGCCTGTCAGCAGAACGCACGGCATAAGCTGCGCGCTTACAGACAGGACAAGCACGCGTGACACACGCATACGCGCACCACTCACACGCATCCGAGACACAATGCGAGTATCACGCACCATGCTTAACGTCCACGCATCACTACGAATATGCATAAATGGCAGGCGCAATCCATACAGTCAAAACGTGTATGAAGGACGGATGGTAAGGACGCAAGACCCTTGGAGAGTAAAGTTCGGATTCTTTGGGCGGCGGGCGACCAGTGAAACCAGAAAAGGACGGGAAGAGGCAAGGGCACAAAGGAACCCCAGATGAAGGCGCGCGTCCTTCCGAGGAGCGTCGACTGTACACCAATCGTGTGCGTAACAATCAAAAATAACAAGCATGCGCACTTAACAACCTTGGATTAACTTCTGACTGGGCATACGCACACCAACGACTGGAGAAGAGCAAGCGCAAAGGAAAGCCGCCACCATGCCGCGAGGCACTGAATGGAGTGTCCAGAGGTCCCTTCGAGTCCCTTATTTGGATCTTGTGGATGCTCTTCTAAGACGAAGCCAAGACGAGGCTCAAATCAGGTGAAGATAGATGGAGAATCTCTGAGACGCGGCGGCTCTGCAAGATGTCTCGGGCGCCGCGGCCTTCTCGGAGCGTTCCGGAACGCTCCGGATTCCGTAACGCTCTGAAACGGATGTATCCTCGTCCTAGCCCCGTCCGATCTTCCATGGACACAGGCCTCAAATTTCTAGGCGCTCTTGGGTCGGAAGAGCCTCTCCTGTGCGTTTCTGGCCCTTCTCTGGCATCCCCACACGACTCTTCCAGAGGACTCTGAAGCATGATTTTTACGCCATGCGTTTTGGTAAGCGACGTGCGAGGGTCCATTGGCATAGTCCTTCCTGCAAGCGCACGGGGAAGCGAACTACAACTTGCACAAAGGAAAAACCATCCAACTAACATACTTGCCTGGGGGTGGGGGTCGTATACAGGACCCCTGCCTGCTGCTCCCTGCCTTCGCCGCGCGGCATCATCGATCAGCTGCGGCAGCTCGTCCGAGATGGACAACCGAGATGGACACAGAGTATTGGACCGGTCCATTGCTGAACCGACCATTCCCGAACCAACAAACTTTCGGCGACTCCGAAGGGTGCGGTTTGCAAAGGGTGTGTTTTGCAACCGGCTCCCTGAGGGTCACCTGGGGGGCGGGCGAGGATCTCGACAGAGCTCTCCACCGCGCCCCGAGGAGCCCCGACGAGGACAGTGTCTTGCCCAACAGGCCCCGACGGTGCCGTTCGCAAACCATACCCCGGCGTAACCATACCCTTTGTAGTCGCCGAAACTTGCGTTGGAATGATACGTATCAAGCAGGATGCCGGGCAGCCGATCAAGACAACGGTGATAATGGCGGCCACGCTGAAAAAGATGGCACTGGCCGCCGCCGACTCACTCTTGGTGGCCCTCGCCGCCTCCGATTCGCTCTTGGTGGTCACACCCATGGGTGTGATTGTCAATATTCGTGGCACTGGGCCCGAAAACGAGCAAAAATCTACACCGTCACCTCCGGTGGGCTCGGGATGCACTGGATTGCCGCTTTTGCAAGCTGGAGGAGGAGGAGGAGGAAGAGGAGGATGAGGAGGAGGAGGAGTGTCGCAAATAAAGCAAGCGGTGTGCCGCTGCCCGGCACACATGGCACGGCGGTCGAAATCCACACTCCTGTGCTGCCCTTTCCAGCGCCCGTCATCCCAAAACCTGGGAACGTCGACGAAGCGTCCCAAACAACTATCATTTCGTGAAGAATGCTGGGTGAGCCCGTGTTGTACATGTAGATCGCCAGCGACGCACCGATCAGGCTCGTAGCAGTACTTGGAATACCGAATCCAATTAATGACCATGCGTGGCCGCCATCTCGGGTGTGGGAACATGTATCAAAAAGTAAGCTTGAGGTACTGTAAGATGTGTTTGGGCAATTGGAGGCAAGGTAAACATCCGTACTGACAGACGAGCCGATTAACACAGAGCCACCTTCAGACATGCGATGTTCTCAACGTTGCCCGAAAGCGCTTGCTGCCCAACTGCGATGCAATGATAGCAACCTCCATCAACTCCAGCTGTCTCTTCTGCGTAAAACTGAATGCGCTGCAAGATTGATCTGGCATGCACAGGAGCGAGCATACAAAGGCAGAAGAAAGCCCCTCTGCAATTGGTTGGGAGTCCGACCAAAACCCATAATGCGAAAATGTGAACCCAGATCGACACGCAGTCGCACACGAGCATTCGTACACAGAGTAAGCGTAATAGTCGCATAGTCCATCTCTCAAGCTTGCGGCGCAATCTATGATCCTCTCCGCAACCCCCGATTCACAAATCGATGCGCCGACCGAGATGAGTGCATAGTCCAGCTCGTCCATGTTGTGATCATCGCCGCAGGGGCCGCAATTGCCCTCATCCCAAAATTCGGCCTCTCGCATAACAGTTCCGACTCGCTCGTGGCGGACCGCGTGGACGTCTTAGTGGCGCTCGTGGTGGCCAAGCTCGTGGCCGACGCCGGCGACGGCGATGCGATGCCTCCAGCGAAGGAGGTGCTGGGTCATTTTCTGTCGTCGCCGTACCGCCCCCTCACGCACAACACATATCCATGGCTGTGAAGTCGGAGTCGTCGTAAAATGCGGAATACGATGCACAAACTATGAGAGCTTCAGTCCACATGATGCAGCTTGCATTGGATCCGGCAGGGCCGACGAAAAGCCCACTCGCATTATGTGAAGTATTGGCACAAGAAGCCGTCGTCAGCTGGTTCTTGACGTAGGTGCAGGACCTTCTGTTCGTGCCGTTTTGTTTTGCCACAGTGCCACCGATCACGCTGTAACAATAACGCACACAAATCTTCGCACAGTCCGTGTCATGCAAGGCATAGCAATCAGGATCTGCGCTGCACGCTGCTTCAGCATTCGCCCTGGAGAACGCCGTGCTGTAGCACAGACCGTACCACGCATCACTAGCCAATCGCAGGCCATCAATGTACAACATTTCTGCGTGTACGGCAAACTCTGTCGCACGCCTGATTGGTGACCCGGCCCGAAGAGGATTAAATCAGTAGTTGCCTTAGGTGTTTGAAGGTTCTAGGCATTAGCTTCGAATTAAACGACCTTCTGACGACCCAAAACGCCCAATAAGCCCCCATGATTGCCCCAAGATCGCCAGGCTGCCCACAACATCGTGGCCAACAGTCGTGACCTCGACCAGCGCAACGTGCCCCTTGCCTTTCGTGTTGCAGGAAATTCTGGACCTGCTGGTGCGTGGCGGCCGCATGAGCTTGGCGGCGCACGCGGAGGCAGCGAAAGGCCATCCGCGGTGCGCCGGCGCGTCGTGGGGCCTGCCTGCGGTTCTGGGGTGGAATCCCGAGCGGGCTTGAGCTCGGATGGTTGCCGTTTCCAAGAGGACTCCGAAGCCCTGTTGGTTTCCATCGGGCTAGCAAGGCTGAGGATGGCCCCGAAGTCCATCCTGCATCGATTTCAGGCGCCTCTTGATACGTCTTGAAATTCCAAACCGAAGAACCATTGAAAACAAATAAGTGGTCTAGTGCGTGCTTGATCGATCGCGGATTCTCGGCCTTACTTAACATGTCGCAACTACGGCCACGGCGACATGCTACGCATGACAAGCGGGTAGCGTGTCGCTCCGCTGCGCGGGCTGGGAGTCTGGGCGAGGCTCGGGACGTTGACGCTTGCGAACTGCCATGTGACTCGCATTTCGTGCCGAAGCTTTGTGGACCAGAAGCGACACGCTGAGCAAATGCCCCTGACCGTGAGAGCGTCCAAGACGTTTCTGTTCCGTCGCGGCGCGGCAGAGGCGATCCGCTCGCGCGCGAAGCAAAACCAGGCTACGGAGTTACAAAGTGCCCCGCATGCCAGAGAAGTAGGGGGGGGGCATGGAAAAAGAGGGCGGTCGCAGGAGGAGGGAGTGAAAAGGGGGGCACCCTCGCGCGGCGGCGCGGCAGGGAGCGCGCGGGGCGGCAGGGCTGCGGGGCAGCCCACGGCAGCGGCGCGGGGCGGAACCGCGGGCGCACCTAGGAGAGGGGCCGCAGCCGCAGCGCGGGCGAAGCCCGCGAAGCGGGGGGGCGGGAGCAGCGGGCTTCCGGCGGACCAGGGCGCCGAGGCGGGGGGGGAATCAAGACGGCACGCGAAGCCACCAAGATCACCCCAAGGCGGTCCCCAAATGGGCCCATGGAAGCATGCAAGAAGCCTGGCGCCTAAACGGCGCATCGGCACAGAGGGAAACTGGCGCCCCATGCAACTCACGCCTCCCTCAAGGCAACGCTGCGTAGACGCAGAGAGCCCATTGCTGCTTAGGCCTCCCGCGTGAACAGCTCTCGCCCCAGATCCGAAGCAGGTTCGAATTTGCTTACGCGTTAGCCTGCGCAGCGGGTGCTCCTCAGGAAGAGCGGCGATCTCACTTTAGAGTTTCTTCTGGCGTTCGAGCAAGCCCTTGCTCAGATTGTCCTCTCCGGTCCGCTCCAGCGCGCAGCGGTTCGGCACTCTTGAGACATCGGCGCGCGGGATGCGACATATTCTTCTCAGACGTAGCAAGTGGGGGGCATTCAGCCTGTCCTTGTCCGCCTGGAGGGCCCACGCAGGTTCCAAGTTGCACAACAGTTTCGGCGCCGCAATCGCCCGATGCAGTTGCGCGCTCCTTGCAATGTCTATATTTGCGCGAGACCAACATTGTTGAAGAGCACCCCCCTCTCCCCCCAGCCCCCCAATCTTCGGGTGAACTCCGGCTTCGCACTGCAAGTTGCGTTGAGAAGACCCCCTAAGTACGCGGCCTGTTCCGCAACAGCCGAAGTATTCCCAGCCAAGCCCCAGAGGGAGCCAGCGCTCCGAACCCTCATGAGGACAGACAGTCTTCTTCCAATTCAGCTCTAGACCATGCTGCCCCCCCTCATCAATGACCGCATCGAGCAAGCTCTGAAGCCTGTCAGCGCAGCTGCTGGCGAGCATCGCGGCGCCCGCGCACAGCAAATCAGAACGCTGAATCAAATCTGGTTCGTGGACTGCCGGGCGCGCGCGCTCCACGCGCGCGTCAACATCGAAGAGCATGACGCCTTGAACTACGATGAAGAGACGTGGTGCCACTAGGCAGCCCTGCGCGATGCCGGCACGTAGCTGGCGCGCGCCTGAATCCCCGGATGGATCTTGGAAAACGCAATCCGTTCGCGATAGATGCCAGCAACCACGTCCAAACAATATGGCATTCCGAATCTCCGCAGCGCCCGCAGCAAGACATCGCGCCCGATCCAGTCGAACGCCTTCGCCCAGCCCCAAAGAACTGCCACTAGTCCCGGGGACTTCGAAGAATGTGCCACCTCGAACATGCGCCGCGCAATGGAGATCGCCATCGCCTGGGCGGCGCCCCTTTTCGGTCTGAATCCGAACTGGGTCGATCTGAGTTCGCCTTCGGCGCCGCCTTGCAGTCGACGTTGAGGCATCCACGCGATGATCTTATAGCCAACAGGGAGTAAGGATATCGGCCAGCATTTCTATGGGGGATTACTGTCACCCTTCTTGAAAACCAGCGCCGCGCGCGCAGCCCCCCACGCCGCCGGCGCGTCTGCGCCCCCCGAACACGTTTGAGATTATCGCAGCAAGTTTGCCGCGGCCTCCGGAGACCCCGATAGCGTCTTCCATAGCCATAGCTCCGGCGGTGCCCCATCTATCCCCGGTGCTTTTCCGACGGCAAGAGCTCGCAGGGCGGCCGCCAGCTCGATCATGCGAAACGGAGAAAGGACCATCGGCAAAGTATCGCCAAACTTCTGGGCCCCAGTAGGCACCAGGTCAGGATGCGTGATCTCTCATTGCAAGTGTTCGAAGAAGTCTGCCATTGTGCCTGCCCGCAAGCTGCTCTCCACCAGATGCCCTGCAGCGTTGCGCATCTGCATTGTTTTTTGGGTGGCCCCTTCCCGAGCCTACGCAGTGCTGCCCGCGGACCTCCCACGAGCTTGTCGTCAAACCAACGCTGTTTGTCTAGTTTCACAGAAGCCCTGATGCGCTTCGTCAACCCAGTCTCATTCTCTGAGTTGTCCGCAGCCCTGACACAATCTCGTTCTGTGGGTAGATCCAGGGTGGATTGGCATATCCATGGTCTCCGTGGCTTCCCAGCCGAAGTGTTCCGCAACTCGTCCGACGCTGATTGCGTGGCTGTGCGAATGGCAAGCGCGCGTTGATCCAGTGTCAGAGTAGGCGCCAGACTCTCCACTGCATTGCAAAATGCTTGCTGGTAGTCCTCCACGGCGTTTCTGCCAGGAAGCCGCATCTGCTGCAATCTGCGACGGGGCGTTGGGGCTAAAGTACCCAAGGGTGCAAGCGCAACTGCATTAGAAAGTGCCAGGTTGCCAACGGGGCTGTCCTGTCCGACCTCAAGTCCTGGGTCCAATGCGTCGCGCTGGCATTCAACAAACAATGATCTGTCTGCGAAAAGCTCACCTCGCCGACGGCATCCATCTTGTCGACCTGCGGCGATGAGTACGTCGCCAAAGTCTCGCCGGGCAACTCGAAGAAGGCGTCGGCGATCATTGCATCTGTGACCCGGCAGGTTTCCAAGAGAAGCCCCCTGTTCGTCCTCTCCTTGTTCTTCGGCCACCTGCGCTTGAGCATAGTTGCCGACGACGGCGTCCTCTCCAGGCTCTCTTGCGAAAAGATTCGCGTTGAAACCGCCCATTGCGATTGCGACAGTGCGTTTGCCCGATGGTTGCCACGCATTCGACAAGGCATAGAAAACGCACGCCTCATCTCGGCACTATACAGGGCATGCGGTGGGTAGCAGCAAATAAACAGAAGAGCCCCACCATGAACATTGAGCTTCAGGGTGGCAAGCTGGTCGGATCTCAGATTGGAGCTGGTGACTGCTCCTGCAGCGCGCGGTGCAATTATGAAGCTGGCGCCAGTATAGAAACGGCCTTCAGAATGATTGACCAGAGCGTTGCCGGCGACGGCTGCAGCTTCCGTCGTGGGGTTCTGGGGGCACTAAGGCGAAGGCGGAAGACCACCTCCCAAATATATCGAAAATTGATGCTCGGAAACACGATGTTCAATAATGCGTGCATTTTCGGCTCTGGTGCCGGCCTGGGCTGGCACCCGCCGCGATCCCTATTTGGATCCCTTGCTTGCTCATTTCGGCCCACTCAGTGGGTGTTCAAGTATTCATTGGCACTTGTCGACAAGATCCTGAAGGACAGGGGAGTCCTGAAGCTCCTTCCAGGCCAGCCAATCCTCCGACCACTTGAACACGAGCACGTTTTCCGAGATCTCGGCGGTCAGTACCAACTTCCCGCCGACATGGACTGTGTACGGTTCCTCGTCCACCACCCAGATCGCGTAGGTGATACCGAACTGTTCTTACGAAAGTACACGATGTCAAGACAACGGTCGTGCGCTGCCCGCGCAAAGGGAGACCTGTCTTGGGTAGCCCAGACTTGCTTTCCATCGCGCTGCAAAATGGCATTCGAACGAAAAGAACTGCGGAATCTCTATCGGCCGTACTCCCAAACTCGGCAAAGACGAACTTAGAAAATTCACCTTGGGCGTAAATCGTGTGCGGCGGGGGACCTGAGCAGGCCTGCGGCCGCTCACTCAACCATGTAGTAGCCGATGCAAGCGAGTCGAAACCGTCGAAATTTCCAAAAACAGCGGAAGGTGGCGCTTGTCGCCTGCAGACGAAGTGGAAGCCCGGTGTGGAGAGTCGAAGTGCGGCAACATGTGCCTCAAGTTCGTGGAGTTTTGCTTCCACAACCGTCCTTGTGGATGCAGCCGTCGCATTCCTCGCTGATGTCGGACGGGATGGATTATATTCCAAAGCGGCCACTCTGGTGGAGGTGTCTCGGACCGCCTCCCTCAATGGGTCGACAGCGTCGTCGAGGTCCTGCCAGGAGATACCGTGCGCCTTGATGGCCTCGATGTCCGTCTGGATTGGACGAAGGTGTTGTTTGGAGAGCTGCGCCATCGACGCCACCGTGATGTTATCGTTTCTCGTCA